AAAACTGTTATTGTGATTTCTTAGTATGTCAGTTGTTACTGTATTGCTACCAACTTGTCAATACATGCACCCTGACTTGTCATTTTTTGCAGGATTGATCAATCATTTGGAGGTGTCAATGAATTGTCTATGTCTCCACCTACCTTATTTGATGTGATTGGAGAGCCACAATCAATTCCTTGTGCTGTTGAAATGATCCCAACACCTACACCACAAATGAATTCCACAAAATGGAAGGATTTGATTATTGGAGAAGGACAAATATTTCCAAATGCCACTACTCTCCGGAAAACATTATACAAGTACAGCTTATGCCAGAAGTTTTCGTACGTTTTCATTAAGAATAATCAGCAAAAGATCATTGTGAAGTGCAAGGTTGATGGTTGTCCATGGTATATGGGTGCATATTCAATGGGAGCACATCAAGATACTGAGTTTTTAACTATCAGAACGTACAAAAGTGAACACATTCATCATGCACAGGACAACTTAATTGTACCTCACTCAGGAAGGTCAAATTTAGCTGCTTCGATTGTGATTGATGACTTGAGGTGCAATGTTGACAAGAGTCCTAATGAAATCAGAAAGGACTTGTATAAAGAATATGGAGTGCAATTGAACTATACTCAAGCATATAGGGTTAGGAAGAGAGCACTAATGGAATTACATGGTCGAGTAGAAGATTCTTATAAGGTAATCCCTTGGATGTGTGAGAGACTCATGGAAACTGATCCTGACACAGTTGCAAGATGGGAAGGCTCAGATAGCAACCGATTTGAGAGGCTATTCATTGCATATGGATGCTCAATTAAAGGCTTTGTGGAAGGTTGCAGACCAATTATTTATATAGATGGATGTCATTTGAGTGGTCCTTACAAAGGAACTTTATTATCAGCTTGTGCATTTGATGCAGACAATGAGTTGTTTCCTTTAGCATATGGTATTGTTAGCGGGGAAACAAATGATGAATGGACTTGGTATCTACAGAATCTGAAAGAGATAACCAGATCAGCACAAGTGACAATTGTCTCAGATCGGAGTAATGCTATTATCGGTGCTGTCAAGACAGTATTTGATGGTGATAGACATGCTTTTTGCTATCGACATGTGAAAGAAAATTATAGTGCGCAGTATGTGAAAATCAATAGAGGTGTGAGACGGACCTCAGAAAATAACAAGGAGAATGCACTTAATTTACTTGATGGAATTGCATATGCAAGGCATGATAATGAGTTTAATGTTGCAATGGGAAATTTAAGATTGTTTTGTCCTCAATTGGCACAATGGGTTGAATCTCATGGGGATGTGGATAGATGGGCGCAAAGTAAATTTCCTTTTAAGAGATGGGATAACATCACCAATAATCTTGCTGAGTCTTTTAATGCATGGATGTTGAAAGAAAGGAAGCACGCCTTGCCGGTTTTGATACAAGAGCATCAAGAGAAGTTGGCCAAGAAGATGGTTGCTAGCAAAATGGGGATGAAAAGCTGGAAAAATGGTGTAGGACCCAATATTGAATCAAAGTTGTCGGAACAAATAGCAAGAGGTGCGTGTATGGAGGCAACATATTATGGTGATGACCATATTTCGGTGCAGACAATACGTGAGGGACGCATCATCTATGTTGCTGTTGATCTGATTTCTCACAGATGCACATGTTTGGCATGGCAAATGAGTGGAATACCTTGTCCACATGCTTGTGCAGCAATCAAACTAGTTCACCGTAGTGTGTATGATTATGTAGATGATTGTTACAAATTGTCCACACAGGAGAAAATATATGCAAATAGCATGAGGCCAATTGCAACACATGATTGCCCACAGCCTGATGCACCTACTGTGAGTCATATGCTGACCCAAACATTCTTGCATCCACCGATAACCAAAAGGCCTCCAGGAAGGCCAAGGATTAATAGGATAGAATCTCAGTTCCAAAATAAGAAGGTTTATCATTGTGGAAGATGCAAAGAGCCTGGACACACTGCCAAGACATGCAAGAACCCAAATCCCAGCTGAGAACATATTGAAGTCAGCTATTTTTTGTATATGGATGTGAAGAGAATATTTTGTAAATGGGTGTGAAGGAAATTTTTTGTAAATGGATACACACCACTGGTTAGTTTCATTATGACATGCAACCCCTATATTTTTTTTGGGATGGGTTGTGAAATAGGTGTAGTTTCATGTATATGAAGGTGTAAATGAAAGTTGGCTATGAATTGGCATGTTACATTGTACTGTCATTTTAGTTGTCATTACCTGCACCCTGAGTTGTCACTAGACCTGTAATGACTTGTCAATCATTGCACTACGACTTGTCAATGAATTTGCTGATGTAAGTTGTCAACAACATGAATTCAAGTAACATAACTTTTTTTACCATGAAATGATATTTACAATCACTTTGTCATATTATATTTTGGTTGTATGGTCATATATAATCATTATTAATGAAGTGTCAAAAACTTACCTCTCCCTTGTCCCCTGTCAGTGGTGGCTCTGTGACAACACTGTCACATGTCAATGGCGCACTGTTGCTTGTCAATGACAACACTGTCCCTTGTCAATGGTTTATCCGGTAACTTGTCAATGGAGCTCTGTGACTTGTCAATGGGGCACTGTGACTTGTTAATGGCTTCACTGTCCCTTGTCAGTGGTTGCACTATGACTTGTCAATAGGGCACCATGACCTGTCAATGGGGCACTGTGACTTGTCAATGGAGCACTGTGACTTGTTTGTGTGAACACTGTCCCTTGTCAATGGTCGCTGTCAAGAGAGCATTGTGACTTGTCAATGGAGTACCGTGACTTGTCAATGGTTGCACTATGACTTGTCAATAGGGCACTATGACTTGTCAATAGGGCACCATGACCTGTCAATGGGGCACTGTGACTTGTCAATGGAGCACTGTGACTTGTTTGTGTGAACACTGTCCCTTGTCAATGGTCGCTGTCAAGAGAGCATTGTGACTTGTCAATGGAGTACCGTGACTTGTCAATGGTTGCACTATGACTTGTCAATAGGGCACCATGACCTGTCAATGAGGCACTGTGACTTGTCAATGGAGCACTGTGACTTGTTTTGGTGAACACTGTCCCTTGTCAATGGTCGCTGTCAAGAGAGCATTGTGACTTGTCAATGGAGTACCGTGACTTGTCAATGGTTGCACTATGACTTGTCAATAGGGCACCATGACCTGTCAATAGGGCACCATGACCTGTCAATGGGGCACTGTGACTTGTCAATGGAGCACTGTGACTTGTTTTGAAATTCTCATATCACTTGTCATTAACTCCTGTTATATTAGTTGTTATTTTGGATAACTGACGTTGTTAATTTCATAACCAACCATAATATCTCTGCACATATATAATAGAAATATAATTAACAATGTAATAAAACCCTAACAAATTAGTATTGCAATGTGATGACAAAGGTAATAATATTATAAACATAACCTGATCAGTTTGTTACAAAATGACCTATTTGCTAATCATCTTAACAACACATATCATGGGCCAAGAGAACAAAAAATTCATAGACTACTCTATCTCCTCTTCTTGGTCTTGTTGTAGTCCGATAGCATCGACATCACTTCACTCCCATGTTCATTACTTGGATGGGTTACCAACCACCACAAACAGCCAACCTTCAAATCTTGTAGCTCATCATTAGAGTATCGTGGCATTGTATATCCTGCATCATCCCGAACGGTGCCATCCCACTCTTGTAGCCAAGAGATAACATGAACTCCACATGAATCACTACCAAGCAAATTGAATATGTTAGCACCTTGCAATTGTTATTGTGAACAAAAACAACATAACACAATCGAACAGAACATCTACACTTACGTATCATTCTGCACATAGACTTTAGCCCATTTCACTTCGTTGTCAATTTTGTCCTCATTGACGAACAATTCTGGCTTAACAGCACGTAGCATTAAATGGAAACAGTTCATCTGCAAAAAAAAACACACACACATAATGAACATGCAGTGACGAGGGACAGAACATCCAGTGACAACTCACAGAGCATGTAGTGACAAGGGACAGAGCATCCAGTGACAACTAACAGAGCATCTGGTGACAACTAACAGGGCATCCAGTGGCAACTAATATATCATCCAGTGACAAGTAACAGATCATTAAGTGACAACTAACAACTAATATATCATCCAGTGACAATTAACAAATGATCCACTGACACCGAGCACAACATCCAGTGACAACTACCAGAGCATGCAATGACAACTAGCCCAGCATCCAGTGACAACTACGACAGCATATAGTGACAAGGGACAGAGCATACAGTGACAACTAGCATGGCATCCAGTGACAAGTAACAAATCATCCGGTGACAACTAGCACAGCATCCAGTGACAACTACGAAGCATATAGTGACAAGGGACAGAGCATACAGTGACAACTAGCATGGCATCCAGTGACAAGTAACAAATCATCCGGTGACAACTAGCACAGCATCCAGTGACAACTACGACAGCATATAGTGACAAGGGACAGAGCATACAGTGACAACTAGCATGGCATCCAGTGATAAGTAACAGATCATCCGGTGACAACTAGTACAGCTTCCAGTGACAACTACCAGAGCATGTAATGAGAACTATGCAGACTGCTACTAACAATTATAATAGTCATTGACAAGTGTAAAAGCTGTAAATAACTACTCACAGTTTGTGTTGCCATGAACTGTTTGGGGTCGAACTGCCTTTTACTTGTCCTTTTCTTCTTCTTCTTTGCGTCATGTTGCTCACCCCCCTTCTTCTTTGCTTCTTCTTCCTCGGCTTGTAATCTTATGAATGTGATGCTATCAACCAACGAGTCAAGGGCGTGGAAGGTCATGGTCTTTGTCTCAAAAACATAACAAAACCAATGATCTTCAAATAGAGTAGGACCAAAAATGAAATCGCAATCCCCGATATTGTATCCAATATATTCAGGTAATATTTCTCTTTGATGGTCCTCCCATTTCCACCTTAAAGGATTCGCCACCATTTTCTGCATGAAATCTGCAGAAAATATATGACGGTTGACTCGCCCATCTTTTTCCTTTTGATCTCCAACGAATGTCTTCGCCACCATAGTCATAAACTGAAATTGCAAATACAAACAAATTACAACTACTTAGCATGCAATAACTCACTATATTATTAACTATGTACGTGTGACTCACCCTGTCGTTTATCCATCTTCTACGTTGGAGACATTGCAACTCACCACGGGTTAGGAAGTATCCATACATCGATACAAAGTATCTAACACAAATGAAACAATTATAAAGTTAGTAAATTCAGTAAATTCTGTAACATAATACAAAATTGGTCACCAAAACATAATACTTACTTCTCTTGCTCCTCTTGGCTACACCTTGCTGTACACATGTCAAATAAAGCTTGCCTGTCATCAATTGTTCTCTTTTTCCCAGCTTTGCTTTTAAATTCCAGAAATGGAGACCTAAGAGCTTTCCCCTTACTTATCACCCTTGTAGATTTCCTCACATGTTCACTCCCTTCCCCTTGGGTGGCCTCATCCACTTCTTTGTCCTCTTCATCTTCTTCTCCTCTTTTATCTTCTTCTTCATCTTCTTTCTCCTCATTTCCCTTCTCTTTTTCCTCTTCATCCTCTTCTTTTTCCTTGTCATGTGATTCTTGTCCACCCATCTCCTTTTCTGATTGAGCTTCTTGCTCTTCTTCTTCATTTCTATCATCTTGTGATTCAGATCCTTCTTCTTCATTTCTGTCATCTTCTTCCTCATCCTCTGAATCACTTCCTTTCTCAACTTTTTCCTCTTCTGCTTCAGATTCTTCTTCCTCATCTTTGTCCTCTTCACTTACATTGCCACTACCCTCCATTAGTCTTGACTGAAGGGCCATCATTTCCTCCCCCAGCATAGACACTAATCGAGTATATGTCTTTTTTATCTCCTATACAAATAAAATTCAGAACAGTAAGCAATAGTAGAAAAACAAAAAATTAATCATTAAGCCCACAAGTCCACATACCGGGTGAGTTAAATTTTCAGGATCAAATTTGGTGGATTGCTTTGCCGGATGCAAGAGTCCTCGATTGCTTTCCTTCTCCTCCTTAACTCTTTGCTGCACTTTCTTTTCATCCCAATATGCAACAGCATCCTTTACATGTGTAGCTTTTGTTTCTCCCAATGGAAAATTTTGTAGACAATATAACTGCATGTGACATGAATGATAAGTTAACAGCAACCATTGACAACATTCACACCATCAAATGACAACAGAAATATACAAATTATTGTAGCACTTACCATTAGGAAGTATAGACAACCTGGCACATTCTTCTTCTTCTCAGTCAACTTGCCTTTTTCCAATTGTTTCTTGTACACTCCAATCCCCTTATATAGTTCATGCAACACATAAGAGGACCAATCAAACTTATCCAATCTATCCTTTGTTGATAGTATTACCTTCAACAAATAATCACCGACACAAATACTTGCATTAGGACATAACAATGTTCCCAATGCATACATGACAAACAGCACCTCAAAATTTTCATCTTGGTTCTCCTCACTCAACAATGATGCTATCTTCTTGTATGGAATATTGCCATACACACTCCTCCACTGCTTGAACACTTCATCTTCATTATTCACAACTACTTTAATCTCTTCTCCATCAAATGGTAGCCCCAAAAATTCATGCACATCTTTTGTCCTCATTTCCCTTCTCTTCCCTCTTATTGAAATGTTTTTTGATGCAAGATCCAATGCAGACATAAACTCTCCACACAATTCTCTTTGAATTGTGTGGCAACATACTTCCACTAGCTTGTCAAAACCTATCTTCTTCAGCCTGTCCATTAGATCCTTCCTTTCTTTGATTATCTTGCAAACTTGCATAAATTGTTTTGGTGCACATCTAGTGTAGAAAGGAACTATATACTTCTTGGACTTTGTGGGAGCTCTTTGTTCCTTAGCTCTGTTACAATACTCCTCTTTTTGCTGTTTAGATAATTTGTCCCAAGCATTTCTCACATGTTCATTCCTAGATTCAAGTGATTTGTATTTCCTTGAGCCTTTCCTATGGAATTCCTCTGTGAATAATGCATACCCAGAAAAATTACAGCTTCTTTGTTGTGCACTTTTGTTGGTTCCATCCTTCCCCATCTTTTTAAAAGCACTACGAAACAAAGAAAAAAAATTCTGACACTTTTTTGATGATGTGGCATGATAACAAATGATGAATCAAATTAAAGGTTATGGATCAAACAGCACTAAATCCATTTCTGTAAATAAAACCATCAATCATGCCAAAATTATTTCTTTTAAGAGGCTATTTTTCAATACTATCAATTCACTAATTAAATGGTATACAAATTTATTGTGTCCGTGCCCTGCATATTCATTGTTGTTGTTCAAAGTGGAGGGTAATATTTGTTTAATACAAGGATCTAAAAACACAGACATAAAGGCGGGTGGGTGAATAACGGCTGGATTTTCCCTGGTATTTCATCATACAACCTAATGCATGTGCCCTGTAATTTGTATCGTAAGGTTACCGAACAACAAAGTTCCACATATAAAGCCATCACAGAGGTTCAAATAATCAGTTATCCAATTTGAAGTAATTCTATTTTTCAATCATTATGGCTCCTGAAAGTTTCAACATTGCCGAACAGAGCTACAACAACGAACAATGACCAAATACCAAACTCAAACACAAAAATCCATTGCTTTACTGCTTACCGTGACAACAATGATTCCAACCTCCGACGATGCTTTCAGACTTCGGTTTCGGTCTTCACTACAATGATTCCGACCTCCGACGACGATGATGATTCCAACCTCGGTTTCGGTCTTCAATACAGGGAGACGCCAGCACTTCACTTCAAACACCAGGACGACCTCCACTTTGCTTCAAACACTGATGAACGGAGACGCCAGCACTTTGCTCCGCTTCCCTTCCAAAACCGGGACTTCGCTCCGCTGCGCTTCGCTCCGCCACGCCAAAACAGAGCCACCACGGCAGGCTTTCAAGGACTTCGGTCACGATTTCCGGTGGGTTGTGAGTAGATTTGAAGCAGCACGGTGGGTTGTGGCCGAATTCTCAGCACGAAGGATTTCGGACAGGACGAAGGCGCCAGACGATTTCTTCGGTCAGGGTTTCAAATTCACTCAGCAATTTCGAATGGTCCGTCCAAAAAAAATTCGAATGGGAAATCATGAGTAAGGGCAAATAAGTCATTTGAAGATTCTAAAAATTGCATCCAAGTCCCTTTGGGACTTCAAAAAAATTATCAGATTTCAGGGGACCAATTTGATGTATTTTGTTCTCCATGGGACCTCAATGTCATTCTCCCATTGATTTAACTGTACGAATTGGGCAAGGATAAGTCCAATTGGATATTTTTCCCTTAAAGATCATTGAAGTAGATTTCAGTAGAATTTTAGATCACCTCAATACGATTGATATGGAATTAGTTATGAATTTTTGAAGTTGGACATGTAATCTGAAAATTTAACAGTGAATAGTAACCCGAGTAATTATGTTAAAATTTTAAATCCACAGGCTTGTGTCATGATCTGCTTGAACCATAACGCTTACGAATGCATGCTCTGAGGGGTTAAAGGCAGGATGTTTCATATGCCACTAAGATACCTTGAATTTCTTCATTTGGAACGCAGCGCCTAATCAATTGGTCATTACACATCCTCCATGAGTGAGGCGGTTCCCAAATGTAATACTTGGCTTCACTTTTGAGCTTCTGAGTCTGAAAATGAGACAATATACTAGGGATTAAACCAGTAGCTAGAAAATTGACCATGTTAGCAAACCATAGATCATGAGAAGCTATCAAACAAAGAATAGCAGTTGGAAATTTATCACAAATCAGATTAGGGTTAGAAACTCCCTTAGTTCCTGTTGGTAATCGATTTAAATGGTTTGCAACATGGTTTTCAGCTCCACTTCAGTCTTTGATCTCTATGTTAAACTCTTGGAGAAGTAAAACCCATCTCAAAAGTCTAGGCTTAGTGTTTGGCTTGCCAAATAAAAACTTGACAACAGCATGATCAGTAAAGACAACAACTTTTGATGCAAGAAGGTAAGGTCTAAATTTGTGTTAAGCAAATGCAATAGCATAAAGTTCCTTTTCAGTGGTTGTGTAATTAATTTGTGCATTGTCAAGGGTTTTGGATGCATATGCAATGACTTGAGACAGCTTATTTACTTTCTGACCTAACATAGCTCTGATGGAAGCATGAGATGCATCATAAGCAAGTTCAAAATCTAACTTCCAATCAGGTGCAGAAAGTATAGGTGGAGAAACAAGCATGCTCTTTAATGAACCAAAAGCCTTTTTGCAAGCATCATCAAAAACAAATGCCAATCCTTTTGCATGAGCCTAGAAAGAGGGTTTGCTATTTTGCTGAAATCTTTCACAAATCTTCGATAGAAACCAGCATGTCCAAGGAATAACCTAAGTTCCTTTGATTTAGTTGGATAGGGAAAAGAAGCAATAACTTCAATTTTAGCTTTGTCTACTTCAATTCCTTTCCTAGAGACTAGATGACCCAAGACAATTCCATTGTCAACCATAAAATGGCATTTTTCAAAATTCAGAATCAAATTCCTATTAATGCATCTAGACAAAACCCTATCTAGACTTTCCAAACAATCATCAAATGTGTCACCATACACAGTAAAATCATCCATAAACACTTCCATAGATGAGCCTAGAAATTCACTAAAAATGGACATCATAGCCCTTTGAAAAGTACCCGGGGCATTGTATAGCCCAAAAGGCATCCTCCTGTAGGCAAATGTCCTAAATGGATAGGTGAATGTGGTCTTGTCTTGGTCTTCTAAAGCAATAGGAATATGGAAATACCCTAAAAAACCATCTAGAAAGCAGTAATTAGTTCTTCTAGCTAATCTTTCAAGCATTTGATCAATAAAATGTAGAGGAAAGTGATCTTTACATGTAGCATCATTCAATTTCTTGTAATCAATGCATACCCTTCATGAGTTTTGGACCCTTGTTGGAATTAATTCATTCTTTTCATTTTTAACAACAGTAATACTAGTTTTCTTAGGAACCACTTGCACAGGACTAATCCACTCACTATCTGAAATTGGATATATAATTCCAGCACTCAAAAGTTTATTCACTTCCTTTTTCTTGACATCTAAGATGAGTGGATTAAGTCTACGTTGTGGCTGTCTCACTGGTCTTGCTCCCTCATGAAGTAAAATTTTATGTGTACAAATGGAGGGGGCAAT